GGGGGGGGGTTGGCGTGGGGTGGGTGGTGGCGTCGTGTGAGAGCGGGAGCGGAAGGTGTGCGCCTGCGTGGGACGAAGTGCTTTTTTTTCCGAGCAGCAGTCTGTGTGCATTGCAGCAGGGTATAGTGATAGTAGATTGGTATCATGATGGGATGAACCGGGTGCTAGAAACGAAGACGGCGGAGAGCGTAGCGGATGAGGATGAGGGAGGAGATGACGGACGCGATAGCGACGGGCCGCGAGTTGACGACGTTGCGGAGCGTGCTCGGCTTCGCGCGGTCGTCATCGTCGGTGAGTTGGACCTCTGGGGTGGCCGAGCCAAGCGGGACCGAGACGATGGCGTGCGCAAACGACTCGAGGTTAAAGTAGAAGAAGGAGCGGATGGGCTGGAAGGGAGCGACGCCCGAGATGGGCTGCGCGTCGATGCCGTAGGAGCGGGTTGCGGCACGGTCGCGACGGTAGGAAACAACGTGGACGTTGTCGTGCGAAGCAGCAGCGGTGTGCTCTGCGTTTTCGAGAATGTCAATAAAGATGGACTTTGGCCACATGGAGCGACCGGTGACGATGCCGGCCTTCTCGAGGCCCGACGAAGTCCAGTAAGCGCAGTTGCCGCGGACGGCGAGCGAGTTGCGGGGGAGGATGAAGCGGAGAGCATTGAGGATCGGGCCCAAGATGATGTTGAACTTGGCAAGGCCCTTTTCGTTTTGGCTGGCCAGCTCCTGGTAGTACTCGTCCATGGCGCGGACGGCTTCGGGTGGGATGTTCTCGACGCGGACCGAGACCATGTCGCGATGGGTGATTCCACCCTGCGGCGAGTTTGTGCCAAAGATATACTCCTCAGGGGTAAAGAACGACACCAGGCCGGATGAGCCAGCAATGTTCATCACCTTTTGAGTCCCGTCTTCGAGCGTGTAGCGAACGGCCGAGTGACCGTAGTTGTTGTACGAGATGCCGATGTCGGTGCCCGGGATGCGCAGGGCCGAGAAGGGCCGAACGAGGATGTACTCGATCGACGGCGGGTGCTTGACGCCGAGCGCAGCATCGACCGCAGGCAGCACGCCTTCGATGTTCTCCAGCATGTGTGGTTGGGGCACAGCCTCGGGCTCCGGGTGCGGCGGATACGCGACGGGGTCTTCGACGGCTGCGTCAGCCTCTGACGTTGAGCATGCCACAGCAGGCCGGACACAGTGTCTGGAGAAGAGGAACGAAGTGTGAGGGAGATATACTTGGCTCTGCCATGTTGTGGTGGAAGTGGCCATGTGGGCGGTGGTGAGGAGGGGGGGGGGGGGAGGTGAGGGGGAGTTGGCGAGAGGTAGCGGAGGAGAACGGTCGTAGTGACGAGGAGACGAGGCAATGGCATTGACAACATGTGGTGATGGTGTGTGATCGCATGCCTGTGGTGCGTATGATCGCATGTCCAACAGTGTGGTGCGTATGATCGCATGTCCAACAGTGTGGTGTGTCGTTGATGTGTGTGCCTCGATGGTCACACTCTCCTCTCGATTAACCACCATGCGTTTGTTGGTGGTGGTGACAGTGGCTCTGGTCGTCCTGGCAGGAACAACCTCAGCCTTTTACCTCCCTGGTGTGGCCCCGCATGAGTACTTTGAGACAGACCCCGTGGCCCTCAAGGTTAACAAGCTGACCTCTGTTCAGACCGTATGTTACCCACCAAGCCCACCGCAACCCCGCGCCATGCCCCCCCCCCCCCCTCGCCATCCTGCCTCCGGCCACGGCGCCATCGACCCCATCTTCGACCCAAAAATTGCCACGTCGTGGCGGCGTGGGGTGGGGAGGGAGAGGCGTGTTGATAGAGGATGAGGAGGGACGAGAATGGAGCGAGAAGGAAGAGACTCACCACAGAGGTGGATGTATGGCATTGTGCGGGGCGTGGGGGCGTGATATCAGCTGCTTCCCATGGACTACTACTCGCTCCCGTTCTGCCGTCCGCCCAAGATCGAAGACGCGGCGGAAAACCTGGGCGAGCACCTCACTGGCGAAGCCATTCACAACTCGCCGTACAAGATTGAGGCTCTTGTGCCGCAGACATGTGCAGTGCTCTGCCGGCGGCATCTCTCGGCGGCCGACGCGTCGCTCTTCTCGGAGCGCATCCGCGAGGAGTACCGGGTCCATTGGATCGTGGACAACCTGCCTGCGGCGACGCATGCGCAGATTGAGATGGATGATGGCAGCGTGCGCGATTTGTATGAGGATGGCTTTGCGCTCGGCTTTCTGGGCAACGAGGACATGTTCCCCGGGACGCTCAACGGGGTTCCGTACCTCAACAACCACGTGGTCATCCAGCTGCTGTACCATCAGGAGGAGTCGTTTGATGGCTCGCGGATTGTGGGCTTTGAGGTCCTCCCAATGAGCGTCAAGCACGAGTGGTCCGAGTTGGAGGATGCGCAGCCGCAGACGTGCGACGACCTCAACTCTGCTGAGCCGCTGAGCGTGGTGGGCGAGACCGAGGTGGTGTGGACGTACGAGGTGGTGTGGGTCCAGAGCGACGTCCGGTGGGCCTCGCGGTGGGACACGTACCTCATGATGCAGGACTCGCAGGTCCACTGGTTCTCGATCACCAACTCTCTCATCATTGTGCTCTTCCTCTCAGGCATGGTGGCGATGATTATGATGCGTGCGCTGCACAAGGACTTTGACCGCTACAACGAGAAGGTTGTGGAGGAGGTTCAGGAAGAGACCGGGTGGAAGCTTGTCCACGGCGACGTGTTCCGCGCGCCGGTGCGGCCGATGGTGCTGGCGGTGCTGGTGGGCTCGGGCGTGCAGATTGTGGTCATGGCTGTGATCACGCTCTTCTTTGCGCTTCTCGGCTTCCTCTCGCCGGCGAACCGCGGTGGGCTGCTGACAGCGATTGTGGTGCTGTACGTGCTCTCGGGCGCGTTTGCCGGCTACTTTTCGGCCCGCATCTACAAGATGTTTGGCGGCGTCGAGTGGAAGCAGTGCACGGTGTACACGGCAGTGACCATGCCCGGTGTGGCATTTGGCATCTTCTTCATCCTCAACTTTTTCGTTTGGGGTGAAAAGTCGTCGGGCGCTGTCCCGTTCCTCACCCTCGTTCTCGTCATGTTCCTCTGGCTGGGCATCTCGCTCCCGCTCGTCTTCCTCGGCTCATACTTTGGCTTTAAGAAGGCGGCCATTACGCCGCCGAATGACATGCGGGTTAATCGCATTCCGCGGCAGATTCCGCTCCAGGTGTGGTACATGCAGGACATGCCGGCCATCCTCATGGCGGGCATCCTGCCGTTTGGTGCCGTCTTTATCGAGCTCTTCTTCATCCTCTCCTCGATGTGGCTCAACCAGTTCTACTACATCTTTGGCTTCCTCTTTGTCGTCTTTATCATTCTCTGCCTTACCTGCGGCGAGATCACCATTGTCATGTGCTACTTCCAGCTCTGCTCCGAGAACTACAAGTGGTGGTGGCGTGCCTTCCTCACCTCGGCCTCGTCGGCGGTGTACATGTTCCTCTACTCGGCGTTCTACTTTTTCACCAAGCTCAACGTGACTTCGTTTGTCTCGGGCCTCCTCTACTTTGGCTACACGTTTATCCTCTGCTTTGGCTTCTTCTGCATGACCGGCGCCGTCGGCTTCTTTGCCTGCCTCTGGTTTGTGCGCAAGATCTACTCGTCCATCAAGGTCGACTAAAGCCCACAGCAGCCAGCTCTGGAAATGAACAACACGTTACGAGAGGTGGTAGTGCATGGCGAGTGGGATCGAGTGCGACGTGGCGAGGAGAGCGGCAAAGGCCGGTGAGTCGACGGGGCTGGCGCCAGGCGCCGGGATAATGGCAGCGGCAAGGCTCCCGCCACAGCCGCACGAGATTTCGATGGTGGTGAGCACGCCCGAGCCCGGCGCGAGGTAGCTGACGGTGAGGAGCTGTGGCGCGAGAGTGGTGAGCTCGAACCGGCGGAGGGTGTCGGGCGGCGGACGGGTATGGAGCGATGCGGCGTCGACAGCGTCGCTGAAGCACGAGGCGAGGAGGGTGTTGAAAACGGCGTGCTGGCGGAGGAGGTCGAGAACGGTGGCCAGGTGCGCGAGCGAGAGGAACGGGATGCGGTGGACGAGGACACCGCGGACGCCGGGCTCGCCAGCGTAGGCGTAAGCATGAGTGGTGTCCAGGACCGTGACAGGCTGCGGGCCCGCGAGTGCGTCATGGCCGACGAGCATGGCCGCCAGCGGCGAGGCGTCTCCGGTGCCGAGGGCCGAGAAAGCCATGGCGACCTTGGACGTGGCCGGCGGCGGAAAGGCGACGGCGGCGGCTTCGGCGGCCCACGCGCAAGAGGTGACCAGTGGCGGATACAGCTCCAGCACAAAGGAGGCCTCAATCGGCGCCGAGAGCTTGGCATCAGGCGGCGAGCCGGGCACGAGGAACTTTGCCACGTTCAACGCGCCCGGCCCGCCGTTGCTGCCGGCCAGACCCGCCACGGCCGAGTCTACCAGCGCCGAGCCGAGGAGTAGCCGCGACGGCTGCGATGCAACCTCGTACGAGAGTCGGGCGTGGATCATCCCGTGGGCCGCGAGCGGCGAAGCGGCGCGCAAGACCTCCAGCGGCGGGAGCTCCGCGAGTGAGGCGCGGAGCGAGGGGCTGGTGGTCTCGTCGGCGAGCGCAAACTTGGCAGACGCCGCCGCCCACACTGTGCACAGCAGGCCCGACGCCGTCAGCGAGACCGAGCCGATGCCGCTCGTGATAGTGGCGTAGAGGCCCGCAGCGGCCACCGAGGCCGCCGAGAGCGCACGGACGTCTGCGGTGAGGGCGGCAAAGGCGGCCGAGACGGCGACCGCGGCGTCGCTGCCGATCTCGTCAGGGAGCCGGACGTGAAGGTCGCAAAAGTGGCCCAGAACCGCCGAGAGCGTTGACCAATCGGCAGCTGTGGCTAGGGCCGTCAGCTTTGCGTTGGTCTCGTCATCACTAATCATGTCGTCGTTGGCGACAAGGGTGAGCGCAGCCGACGCCACCGCGCCCGACGCCGTCACATTGACATCCAGCATGAGCGTGTTGGCGTACAGCGCAATAGTCACCGCGTCCGACATGGAATCATCCACCATGACCGAGAGCGAGTGCGCAGCAGCGAGGCTGTGCAGCGTGTGCAGAATGCCCTGATGGCCCGACGCCGACGCCGTCTCGCCATCAGCCTGCGAGCGCGATGCGAGGTGGTGGCGGACAGCTTCTCGCGACTGCAGCAGCATGTTTGAGAACGACGAGTTGAATGACTTGAGCGTGTGGTGGCTCTGTGCGCGTGCGTGGGTCCGATGGAGGTGAGTGATGCCGGCTATGGTGGTGCCATGGCTTGCCGCCCTGCCCCCCCCCCTCTCCCCCTCTCCCCCTCTCCCATCAACCTACCCTCAGCAGCCGAAGGCAGCGATTAAGCTCGGCAGCATCGGTTACTCCCGCCTTCCAGTGCCTGTACTGCATAATGATGTTCCGCAAGGCATCCAGCGCCAGCTGCGCCTTTCTCCGCGCATCGGCCACATTGAGCGGTCCCAGCGGATGCCGCCCGCCCTGCAGTCGCTCCGGGTTGCCGTCAGAGCCGCGGTCAGAGTCGCCGTCTCCATTCCCACCACCACCACCTCCTCCTCCTCCTCCTCCTCCTCCTCCTCTTCCTCCTCTTCCACCTCTTGCTGGTTCGGCCTCCGCGCCACCAGCGGCCACCGTGGCCATGCTGCTCTCGCCCAGGAAGCAGCTGAAGAGCTCGGCAAAGGTCTGCTCCAGGACCTCCACCTGCAACCGGGCTGTCTGCCCGCTGCGGTCGCTCATCTTGCTTGGCTCTGGTTGTAGCTGTGGCGCCGAGGTGAGTGGTCGTGAGTGAGGTGCAGTGGTTGAGGGTGGTGGTGGTGGGGGAGGGGGGGCGGTGGGGTGGTGGCGGCGTGTCGGGTTTGACAAGGCGACACAGCGGGCGGGCTCGGGTGGGGCTGGGTGGGGAGGGGGGAGGACTTGTGCAGCTCGTGCGGCTTGGAGTCAACGCATCGGCACACCATCTCTAGTCTGGTGGTAGTTCACATGCTCAAGTGAGTGTTCATCGTGATCATTTTCAATGACTATCCGTGTCCGCGGCTTGCAGCCGGTCAAGGGGACTTGGTGCAGGCTTCGCTTGCCTCGCGGCACGATTCAGAGGGGATTGTACTGAATCAGTCATCTCATTCCCTCATCATGGTTATTAGGCTATAGATGAGACTCTATGTGTCCAACCCACCCTCTAGTACCGGCTAGTGTCCATAGCGTGTACGACAGGCCATTCCATGTCGGATCATCCGGCGAACAGCTGCTGCGCATCGAACCCAACGTGATCACCGTTTTTGAGACCCGCACCATTTTACGTGCGGTCTTTGTCGTCTTATTGCTACCCCCCCCCCACAACGCCTGAACGCCATATCCGACGATCGGTGCTATTGGCAAGAGGAGTGAAAAGTGCAGGGTAGGAGGGGGAGAGGAGAGAAGCTTGCAATTGCATCACGCCTGGTATCGCACCTTTGTGTCGGCGACGGTCGTCAAATGGCAAAGAGTGAGAGCGAGAGCGCCATGACAAACATGCCAAAGATGGCGAACCAGGTGACGTACTTGTCCGACGGGTCGTACCGGTGGGCGGTGGGGAGGAGCTCGCGGAGTGTCACGTACACCATCATGCCGGCCACTAGCGCAAAGAGCACTCCGTAGGCCCAGTCTGACTCGTTGTTGCGGAGGACGAGGTAGCCAAAGATGGCACCGATGGGCTCGGTCACGCCCGACCACGCGCCCCAGAAGAAGCCGCGCCACTTGGAGCCGGTGGCGTGGAAGATTGGCATGGAGACGACCGAGCCCTCGGGCACGTTGTGCAGGCCGATGGCGACCATGATGGCCACTCCCGACGACGGCGACGCCAGCGTCGCCACAAACGTCGCGAGGCCCTCGGGCAGGTTGTGGAGCATGATAGCCACCGCGGTCTTGATTCCCATCATCTGAATAGCACGCGCAGACGCGGCAGACTGCGTCGTCGCGCCCTTGAGCGCCGCAGTCGCCGAGCCCATCTCCATATCCGAGCTCTCGCCGCTTTCGGTCCGCTCGATGGTCCGGCTCGACGAGCCAGGCGGGCCGAAAGATTCCTCCGATGACGACTGGCGGCGGCGGCGGCGGTGGCGCGACCGGCTCGATCCGCTCCACGAAGTCACCAGCGCGCTATCGTCCGAGCAGAGCCCGGCGTCCGAGCCGAGCGCCTCCTCCTCCTGCTCATACTCCGAGTACGAGCCCGAGCCGCGAGTCGTGGTCCGGGTCGCGGTGCTCGAGCTCGAGCTCGTGCGTGAGGTGATGGACGGGCCGGCATGGATGATTTCGTCGAGGACATCGTTCGAGTGCGGCGGGGCGCCGATGCGATGGGTGAGGGCGTTGAGGGCGGCAATGGCAAAGATGCCGAGGAAGAAGAAGCCGCCGGTGGCCGTGGGCGCCAGCTCCTCGCCGATCGACTCGATGGCCTCGAACGAATCCATGGCCTTTGTTGCAAGAATGTCCACAAACGAGATGTACAGCATGACACCGGCGGCCAGGCCGAGTGCAGCAGAGAGGGCCCGCGGCGAGTGGATCTTGCTCGAGGGCATGAACGGCGCCGCCGCGCCGATGACTGTGGACAGGCCAGCTGCAAACGTGAGCGCAAAGGCCAGCGGCACGTTGTCGTCGTTGGTCTCACTCATTGGGAATGGCCGCGAGTTGGTGGGTGGAGTGGTGGCTGGCTAGCCGTCTTGCCCCTCGGCAGGAACGCGTGCGGGACTGAGGTGGCGGGTCGGACTCGGTCGAATTGGCCAACGCAAGAGTTTGGTGGCTGCTCCGGCGGAGCAAGCATCAGTGATCGATAGGGTGTGTGAAGGAAACGAGAGAGAGGCAGGACCGAGGGATGCGAGGAGGGCAAAGGTGCGTGCTGCATGGGAGGTCTAGGGAGGGAGGGGGAGGTGGTGGAAAGGATGGCGATAGAGGCAAGGAGCACGTCGCGGCCACGTGCGTGGTCCCAACGCCACGTGGCAACGATTGCAAGAGCGAAAATTTTTCACTCGCGTGTGGGGACGATGACGACAAAGGCCTCACGCCACGTCCTCGTTGCTCAGCCGCGCAGCAGCTGGGAACAGCGCTATGACGATGGCGCGGCGTACTCGAAAGCAGCAAAGGCCGAGTGGTCGATGTTGACCGGGGCGGCGGACGGGCCCTCTGCGTCCTTGATGGAGAGGGCGGCGATGTCCTTGTCGACGTACTTGGCCTCCTTCTCGCTCTTAACGTTGGGCACAAACGGCGGGGTGACTTCTTTGCGGACGAGGGCGCCCCAGTCGTACTCTGCGAACCACGGATGATCCTTGATCTCGTCGGCGTCGAGAGCGCCGCCTCCGATGCGGAGCGCTGGATCGCGCTTGGAAAAGCCGAGCATGAGGTCCTTGGCCAGCGGCGAGAAGACCTCGTCGGGGAGCTCGAGCGGGCGCTTGAGGATCTTCATGAACACGTCGTTGGGCGTCTCGCCCTCTTCGGCCTCGAACGGCGGCACGCCCATGAGCATCTCATACATGAGGATGCCGAGCTCCCACCAGTCGACGGCCTTACCGTAGCCGTTTCCGGTCAGGATCTCTGGTGCGAGATACTCAGCGGTGCCGCAGATGGTGGCTGTCGAGTTGTCCTCAGTGATGCCTTGTTTGGCGAGGCCAAAGTCTGTGAGGCAAATGTGGCCGTCGGCGTAGAGGAGCACGTTTTCAGGCTTGAGGTCGCGGTAGATGATATCGCGGTTGTGGAGATAGCCGAGGGCGCAGACGAGCTCGGCGACATAGAACTTGGTGCGGGCCTCGTCGAACCGCTGCTCCTGCGCGAGGTGGAAGAAGAGCTCACCGCCGTTGACGTAGTCCATGACAAAGTACAGCTTGTCGGCGGTCTGGAACGACCAGTGGAGGTGGATGAGGAACGGGTGGTTGATCTGAGTCAGCACCCGCTGCTCGGCCTGGGTGTGCTGGATGAGCTTGGACTTGGTCAGCGAGGCCTTGGTGATCATTTTCATGGCGTAGATCTTCTTGGTATCCTTCTTGCGAACCTGGTAGACCTTGCCGTACCCGCCAATGCCGATGACCTTGAGCATCTTAAAGTCGTTGACGCTCACCCGCTCGCCCTCGGGCACCTTTTCACCGGCGCCGACCGTGCTTCCGCCGGTCTTGCGCTGGATGACAAACTGGACGCGGGTGCCCATCTTCATGCCAGCGTTGTGGATGATCGACGGCCGCTCGTTGTCGCGGAGCGGGACCCGCTGGCCGCGCACAAACAGGCCAAACCCGTCCGGGTCGCCGGCCATGGCCGAGAACATCGGCCGCTGCGAGATCATGCGACAGACCTCGGACGCTGTCGCCTCCTCCGAGCACCGGAACGAGGTGTACGTGTCTGACGCTTCGAAGAAGACCTGCAGAATGACCGCTGCCCCCGAGCCGGCCCCGGCCTCGGGCTCTTTCTTCTTGGGTGCGAGCTTCTTGATGAACATCAGCTTGGTCCCCTCGCTCCACTCCTTGGACAGTCGCGCCGGGTAGTCGCCGTCGTCGAGGACGCCGGTTGTCATCCCACCCTGCATGGTGCAGAGCTTAAAGACAAACTCGGCCGAAACCGTCTCCTGCCGCTGCGCTACCAGCTTGTCGACCAGCTCCTTGGCCGTCGTGTTCGAGTCGACAAAGAGCTTCTTGTACGAGCCCTCCGGAAAGTAGATCTGGAGGACGGCTCGAAACTCGGGCTCGGCCGGCTGGTCAGCGGATGCACTCGGAGCTGCTGCCACCGGCGGCGGTGGGCTTGTCGGGTACGCCGGCTCGGCCATCCGAGCCGGGCGCGGCGGCTCGGCTGCCACCGGCTTGGGCGCCGACGGCACTGCCGGCGTCGACGGCGAGACTGGCCGCATGCCACGGCCAGCTCCGGAAGCGCCGCCGGCGAACATCGGCTTGCCGCGGCCGCGCGGAGCGCCACGCGGGCGCACCGCACCGCGCGGACGCGGCATGCCACGACCCCGTGGTGGGGCACCACGACCGCGCGGTGGGGCACCACGGCCACGTGGCGGAGCGCCACGGCCACGTGGCGGGGCGCCACGGTTGCGCACCGCACCGCGGGCGATCGGTGCGCCGCGACCGGCAATCACTTGAGTCCGCGCCTTTTTGACCGGCGGACCGACTCGGGCCGGGCGGGCCGGCGGGCCTCCGGGCTGCGACGTCGACTCGATAAACTGCTCGACAGCCTTGCGCGCCGCCGGCGCCACATCAGGCGTCGGCCCTGGCGTGCCTGACACGCCGAGAATCTTAAACGTCCGGTCGCCGGCATCGTGGTAGACAAGGACCGAGCCGGCCGACGCGTGGTCGACGTTTGGCGGTGCACCAACAGTCTTGGCAAAGTTGACGTGGCCCGAGTACACGACCTCGCCGCCGACCACAATGACCATCTGCTGCGGCTCCATGCCAAACTTGACAGCCTCGGGGAACTCGTACTCCATCTCCGGCTCACCCTGGTCCTGATAAAGGAGGCCAAACTCGGTATCGGGATCGACGTCGTCAGTTGCCACAACAGCTGCGACCGGAGCCGAAGCCGGAGCTGGAGCCAGAGTCGACGATGAAGCCGCAGCGGCGTCATCTGCGCTGTCGTCAAACCCGGCGTCAAACGTGCTAAAGTCAAAGTCATCTGCCGGAGCCGGAGCCGGAGCCGGGGTGGCGGCGAGGGCAGCAGGCGCAGAAACCGGAGCAGGGGCCTGGGTAGGCTCATCAAAGTCATCAAAGCCCAGATCAGCAATGTCGAACGGGACGACCGGATCGACGACGGGCTGCGGCGACGGGTCGGCGGCAGTCTGGGCCTGTGGCTGTGGCAGTGGCTCGTCAAAGTCATCAAAGCCAAGCGCATCAATGTCGAAAGGAACAATGTCATCCGCTGGCGGCGTTGCAGCCGCGGCTTGCGCATGATGACCAGCCGAGGGCGAGCCAGCAAGCGGAGGGGTAGCACGCCGGGGTGGCTTGGCACGCGGGGGCTTTGCCCGGACGGGCTTGGGCGGAGTGCTCATACGTGGTCCTGCAGGATGCAAGCGGGAGGAAGGAGGGTGGGGGGAGGGTGGGAGGGTGGAGTGTGGAGTGTGTGGCAGGTGGGAGTGGTGGGGGTATGTAGAGGAGGCACTGCCGTCCCCCCCCCCCCCTCCCTTCTGCCTGTCTGGGCTTTTGCCGCTTCGGCGAAATGTCTTTTTGGCCTCCCTCCCTCCCCCCCCCCCCTCACCGCTACTACGAAGAGGACCAGATCAGAAC